TTGTTTACATAAATTAACAGAGTCTCTCAATTTTTAGTTGTTTTTATTATTGTTAGTCAACAGAGGTAAAGATGGTGGGAACACTGAATAAAATGATTTGTTTATATGAAATGTGAGTTCATTCAAATGGCAAACACAAAGTACAACTTAGATGAATTTAGCAAGTCTCAATTGGTACCCACCTGAAGCCATAAATCTTTATCCTTTTTGCATTTGAATGTAGAAAGAAAGGCCACTTAAAATTCAAACCAGGTTTTCCTAACTTGACCTAGACTCACTAACATCGTAGTAAACTGTGGTTCTGTTTTGGGTTCACAATAAAACTTTCAGGCTACTTTAGCTAATACTGAAGAGAAGAGTTAGGAGAGACAGAAGTAGAAGATGTTTTTGCTGAACAATATATGAAGAGAACTTTCAATGCTGTATGTGGAAACACAAACAGGAGACATCAAGAAAGGAAGTCAATATGTCTTTGAGTTGTTAAATATATCTAAGGTTTTTGTTTTTGAGGTTCTGAAGCTTCAACCCAGAACCCCTGGCCTGGCCCACAGGAGAATTTTCAGTAAGGAGATCAAGGATGAAAAACGATCAGCTAACATCATGAGGGTACTTACTAACTTAAGGCACTGCTCTAAGCGATGTAGTCACACAACTTAGTTTCCCATTGCAGTACCATGAAAACACTACTGTTTCTGTTCTTCAGCTGTAGAAGATGAAACAAAGGCAAGCAGGTTGCCCAATGTTACACTGCTTCTAAAAGAGTCCAAGCCAACATGTCTAGTTTTGTCTCTCAGTGCTTGTATTCAATTCTAAACTGCTTTTCAAGAGACGATAAAATGATGGTGTTGTTAGCAAAACAAATTACAGCAGACTGTGCATGGGAGGGTTAACTTCCTATTTCTGGACAACTAAAGGCAGTAGGAAGTACTGAAAAGTACTGAGAAAGTTTCCTGGGAAAAACCTAGAAAGTAAAGAAATTCTATTCTTCTAATTCCATAGGTAAGAAGGGCGTGGGCTGCCCAGCTTTCTCACATGCCTTCTGTGATCTTGCACCTGGCAAGGTATGCTAAATATAGGGTTAGACACACACACGAAAGAGACAGAGAGAGAGAGAGAGAGAGAGAGAGAGAGAGAATTGTAAATGCAGACAAGCAGGCGTGTGTGCACACAGAGAGAGAGAGAGAGAGAGAGAGAGAGAGAGAGAGAGAGTCAGAGACAGAGAGAAATGGAATGGAATGGAATTTAAAGAAAAAAAGTTCGAAAGATCAGGGCAAGAGATTGAGTTTGAAGGAAAGATCAAAGAACTGAATGAGTAGACTCCACCTAGTAATAGATAATAGAGAGTCCAACTACATTCTAGAGATGCTTAGGAGAAAAACGAGGGCCAAAAAAATGTAACTAGGGAGGTTTTAAAGAAACAAGAAGGTAAGCCTAAGAGGGAAAACAAATTAAAGGCAGCCCTAAAATTTTGTCACTGCCTTAAAAGACCTGCAAAGAACTGAAGTCCAAGGTAAAGACTTCACAACTGAAGAGAATTTTCCTCTTGTTTTTCATCGCTTAGGTTGAAGCAGGAAGATGACCCACACAATCTAGTTTACAAAATACTTTGTGTAGTAGAATAAGATGTGGAATGCCCCATATTCTTGTGTCCATTATCTCATTCAGTGTAGCAATGAATGTGAAAGGTATATGTGATTATCTCTGCTTTGCAGATATGGAGCATAGCTCAGAGAGTTATGTTACCTGCCTAAATCAGACAGCCTCAATCCCCAAGAGTCCTGCCCAAACCTAATCTTTTCCCAGAACACCTCACTGCCTTCTCTTACATGACATTGGTAGCATAAGTTTGACCAGAAAATGATGTCACAAAACAACTGGTTTAGTCAAAACTCATTAAGGTATGTTACCTGGTGAGAATATACTGATCACGTATTATGCTGACATGAGACACTGTCTTGCTCCGGAACCTTGCACTGTCTTTCAGGAGGTGTCTGGTCTGCACAGCTCAGGATTAAATAGAGTGTCTGGCTAGGATGGGAACCAGATGATACTGGAGGAACATAAGAAAATGAAGTGGAACTCTCCAAAGAGACCCCACAACCTCCTGTGTCTCCAGGCCCCCAAATGAGATCACCTGGCTATTTATAGGCATCTTAGTGATGATGAAAAGACTGAACTCACAATTCACACTCCAAACTGTTCCCTGACAACAGAGAGAAGTACCAAATTCTTTAAAAAGTGTGTAAAGCATTGATCTGGAAAGCAGCAACAACATTTGGTACAATTACTCAGATTAGGAGGCCACAGTGATTTGTTTATACTTTGTAGCCCAGAGCCCTTTGGCTCTAGTCTACAAGCTGGAGATTATATATTACAGGAATTTCAGCCTAACATCGACTTCCCTCTTGACCTGTGTGTCTGAGCCAGAGAAAAGCAGGTAGAAAATCCTGTTGCCATTTTCCCGAGAATCTCAGCAAGTAGATTGCCAACCAATGTCTTCCAGGTACGGCAGTTGACACAGAAAACCCCCCGTAGTACAGTCATGGATTTTTACCACTCAGAGAAGAATCTGACTGTGGAGAATACATCATGATGGAGTTTCTCAGCTTGCTGTTCCTCAAAAATGATTTTTGGAAAGGAATTAGTAAATGAAGATTCCCTGCCATGATTCACTTCATTACCACAACACTTTGATTTAACTTTGTTTTCTAATACATTGCAGGTTTAATGAGTGACAAACAAAGTTATTGCCAGGACCATGCTGCTGTGTGATTACACAGATGATGGCAGATACAGATTTCTTTTCCCTTTTTTATTGTATTTTGTTCATTTCATACAATGCATTTAATCATATTTAGACCTCCTCCCTTCTCTGCACTCCCATAGCCCCCTGCCAGATTTCATGTGTTCTGTCATCTATATTAAGGTCTATTGAGTCAAGTTTGTGCTCCTGGATGTCCTTCAGTGTGAGTTCATCCACTAAAGCCTGGTTATTCTAACTAGCATCCCTTAAAGAAGACCGACTCTGCCTCACCCAGCAGCGATCAGCTGCCAATAGTTCCTCAGCTAAGGTTGGGGCTTCTTACCCGTTTTATTTATTTATTTATTTTAGGACAAAAACCTCACTATGTAGCCCTGACTCACCTAGAACTTGATATGTTAGACATGCCTGGCCTGGAGATCACAAATATCATCCTGTTCCTCCCAAGTGCTGGGATTAAATGTGTGTGCCACCATTCTTGGCAAATACAGACAACTTGACCAAAATAGAGGCATCTAGACCATTTGGTTCAAACTCGAAGTTGATAGAGGTTTGAAATATATAGGATGGAGATACTGGTTTCTCCCTCCTCATAAGACAAACTGTTCTCTTTTTCAGAACCGTGATAATTTCAAAACCTTTTGAAGGCAATTGTATTTTCTTTTTATATAATCCTGATATTAAGGGCTTGACCTTGCTGATCGAAATGTCTACAGAAGTGAAGAAGAAGCATGGAGAATGGGAGTTGTCTGTCCTAGATGCACAGGCCTGCTGACTCTAGCAGAGCTGAGAAGAAAAGGCATGGTTTCTCTATGGTCAGAATGCCCAAGTGCAGCATTGTAAAACTAGACCAAATAAATATTACTCGCAGACCATCAAATTGGAAATAACCACAGGCAGGGTGCGAGTTCTTTTTTCTAAAGTTCTTTTTTCTTTTTCTCTTTTTCTTTCTTTTTCTTTCTTTCTTTCTTTCTGGGGAACTCACGAGTGGCTGAACTAGTCCGTATAAACTGAAACAGACTGCCCATGTAAAATGTTTTCTTCTTTCCTTTCTTTCTTTCTTTCTTTCTTTCTTTCTTTCCTTCTTTCTTTCTCTTTCCTTTCTTTCTTTTTTCTTTCTTTTAAAAAAATCAGTGCCTTTCCTAATTTTAAAAAATTGAGAGAGAGCAAGAGAGCGAGCAAGAGAGAGAGAGAGAGAGAGAGAGAGAGAGAGAAAGAGAGAACCTCAGTATATATGTGGAGGTCAGAGAACAACTTTTGGAGTCAATTTTCACTTTCTATTTTTTAAAAAATATTTTATTATGTTTAGTTTAGTGAATTGCCTGCATATGTGTAAATACACCCGTGCCTTGCTGCGTTTGAAGAGGTGAGAAGAAGGTGCTGGATTCACCTGGAACTGGAGTTATAGACGGTTGTTAGCCACTATGTGGATGCTGGGAATTGAACCTGGGCCCTCTGGAAGAGTAGCCAGTGCTCTTAACCACAGAGCCACCTCTCCAGCTTTCTATCTTTCTGTCTTGTTGAGGCAGAGGCTCTCTTGTTTCTGCTACTGCCCTCTATACTCCAGTCTATCAGGCTCTCTGAACTTCTAGGTGGTGCTCCTGTATCAATTTCCCACCTGCCTATCGAAATGTTTAGATTAAAGATGTATAGTACCCCACATCCAGCTTTTTAAGTTGGATGGAAATTATATGGTCAGGCTTGCAAGGCTAACATGTTTTCCCTGCTGAGCCATCTCCCCAGCCCTCTAAAGTTGGTTTAAGAACTTAGATGAAAAAATACTTGAAGCTATGATGCAGGATTCTCAGAGTCTTTCCAATCCCATTGTGTAGTGACTTTGAAGGCAATTTAGAGTCAGTGTACAAAACTCCAACCTTCTTCTATGGTAGATTTTTCTGACCCTGGTTTATCTCAACAATTTACCATTTTTCTGCACTGTCAGAGCACCCTGACATTCACAATTAACTTCCAAATTAACTTAGAAGCGACAGTAAACTCTCAGCTCAATGACAGAGTGGCCACTAGGGACCAGACCAATTTCCTAGAATAAGGTTAGAACTGTCACTGTGTAGCCATGCTAAGGCGGATTGTGTCAGCATGGTTATTCTGGTATGAGCAGGAATTTGGTGGGATACTGGACTCAGAGTCTCCAATTCTGACTGCTTATATGGCATGCTTTTTCTTCACCTTCAAAGCAAATAATCTATTTACACTTTTTTTTGTTTTGTTTGAATTTAAGGCTCTATAACAGAATCAAAAAGGATGCCTTCTATGGAAGAAAGCTTGGGCACATTGGGTCAACTTCTTGCTGAAGCCAGAGTTTTGCAATTGGACAGGTGGTCAAGGAAATGAAAACAGAGTGATTTCTTGAGCTGCAAATTCTAAACAGGTGAAGGTCTGGGTCAAGGCTACCTACAGAGATGGAGAGGAAGGACTCACCTCCCACAACTGCCCTTCTTACAGAGGTTCGTTTATGGATGACTTTGATCCTTGTATGGAAGCAAGAATCACATAGTGTTGGATTCTGACTCAGAGGCAACGGAGCTGCTTTTCCCTAGGAGGAGCTTCTAGTACTCAAACATAACATATTTCAACCTACCGCTTTTGTTTTACTGAGTCTGTTTTCTAGCTCTCTACAGGACAAGGACTGTTGTTTCTCTGAGTTGGTCTGGTTTGCCAGTGTCTTAAGAGGCCTCTTGAAACAAATACTCAAGTTCTGTGACTGCTGGCAGGGACAATGTCCTGTTACTGGCTTTAAACAGGGACTCTCATGAAGAAGAACCTCCACATCCTGGAGTCAGATGTCAATCACCTGGGGCGAATTCAGGGGATACAATACATTTAAGATTGTGGCATGTTTATCCCCATGAAACTCCATTCTGCTTTGGATTTTTGGTAGCCTTTAGAATCAATCACTCTCATCTCTTGTTGCTTTATAAATTGACTAGCACTTCTCCCCTTGTCCCCTGTAGTGTTGTGTAATTACTGAACTAAACTTTGTGCCTGTCAGGGTTTCTGGAGTTTCCAGGGTGATTATGGTGAAAATGAGTGCATATCTATTCCATCTGCTTGTAAGTAGTGGTAAACAGAGGAGTCTCCAAAGTGAAATTTGCTTAGGTTTAAAACCTGGATCTGCCAGTATGCTATGTGCATGGCCTTGGGCATGGGTCTGCTAACCTACATGAGTCTCAGTTTCTTCATCTGTAAAATGGAGAAAAAAGTAGAACTATCTCACATGATCATTTTAATAATAAATGAATTGATATGCATAAAGCAGTTAAATTAGTGCCTGGCACGGAGCATGTATTATTTAAAGATAAGATGAAACTGAGACAGGATCCATAAGAATGAGGCCAATGTCTTGTTTTTATATCTGTCTCCTAAGAGATAGAGAAATACATTTGGTGTCAAAATGTTGAGATTATGAACGAATGAGTTTCCATAGTGTTCTAGACACTGGATGGTAGCTGCAGATAATGTAATGCTAACATCAGGGTAGGTCTTGACTAAGGTATATAGCAATACAATTTTCCCCTTGCGTTAGCTGCTGAATGTTAAATCAAGTTCTTATCAGGTTAGAAATTTAAATCTTTTAGATGCCATTTGTCTATGAACTTCCATCCATATTAATTTAAAGAAGTTGGGTATTTTCCCCTTTCTATCTTATTACAGTGGCACTCAAAGAATGAAATTCACTGGTGTTTTCTACTTTGTATGTGTTCAGTAGGTATCCTGAAGCATTCACCTGCCGCAGCATGGGAGGAGCCATTCTGTGGGAGCAGGGACCACAGGTAATATGATATGTGGTTGTTGTTGTGTGTAATGTGCTAATACTTTTGACAACAACTATCTGAAAGAGCTGTAGCAAGTCATTTGAAATTCACACACAGACTGCCCTATCCATAACACTCGCCCATATCATACTCATAATCTCCAAGGGGAGAGATGCTATTACACTTGTTGGGTCTAGGTCTTCTGTGCGCGCACACACACACACACACACACACACACAGACACAACTCCTACCGACTGTGCTGCAGAGGCACTTTAATGGGAGTTGTCAACAGTATAAATTTAACTCAGTTAAGTCTCAACCACAGCAGGCTCAAGCTGAACAGAGAGACCTGGCTATGTGTTAAAAAAGACTGAGGAAGAACAAAAAAGCTGCCAGTTTCCTTAAGAAATCTTATCCCTGGAGCATTAAGAACTGTAGCCGGATACTCACAACACTCTTTATCCTTGTCCCTCAACCTGCAGAGCCCAGGCTGGGACGTAGAAGCAGTGGAAACAGAGTGGGGATTAAAAAGGAAGGTCTGGGGCTGGAGAGATGGCTCAGTGCTTAAGAGTACTGACTGCTCTTGCAGAGGACCGGGGTTCAAGTCCCAGCACCCACATGGCAGCTACAAACCGTCCTTTACTCCAGTTCCTGGGGAATCCGAAGCCCTCTTCTGACCTCTGGGGCATTGCAGGACACAGTTGCACTTATACACATGCAGGCAATGCACTCATACACATAAAATAAAAATCATAAATAAAACATTGTTTTACAAAAAGGAAGGTCTGCCAGAGGGCACAAGACCAGGCTTTGCAGCTTAGCTTATTAGGTGAGGGAGGAAATTCCCTCACAATGATCTCTAGAACATTTATTTACCAAAATGTAAAGAGATGCCTTGGAGCCAGTCATCTTTGTTAAAATCCCCAAAACAAGGACACAAAGATGCTCAGCCTATGAAAGGCACTAATATGTCCAGTTTGAATGTCCCTTTCCTACGGCTGTTCTATAACTTATAGTGCATGCCAATATGATCCATGGTGGTTTTCAGTGTATTATGTAATGTGATTCTTGGAAGGCTTTCAGGGCCTCTCAAACATTCCCAAATCCTGTCTTCTAAGTGACCAGACATTACTGACCTGAAGCCCCAGTTTGCATAAACCTCAGAATTTAATCCTAAATCCTTGGCATTGCAGCCCTCCTGGTTATAAACTCCGAGGTCTATGTTTTCATGACTACTGAAAGCAGTACTTTGTCAAACAGAGCCTGAGTTTGAATCCTTGCTTTATGCCACACTGATTGCCTGTCTTGGAGATGTTGCTTAACATCTGGATGCCCTATTTTTCTCATCAGTCTTTTGAGGCTGACAATAACTTCTTCACAGTGGCACTGTGTAGAAGCACTCAGAGGAAGAGCATGTTCCTATGAGTGGCTGTTGGCCACTGCTGAGCACTCAGTGGAAGCATCCTCCTATCTTACCACAGCCTAAGTGAATACTCATGAAAATCTACGGATTTTAAGAAAAATACTGCTTTAAAAATAACGTAATTAGTAATGGGGCATGGTGACATATACCTACAATCCAAGCACTTGGGAAACTGAGGCAGGTGCATTCCTTGAACTTCAGAGTTGGAGTCTAGCCTGGTCAACACAGTGAGACCCTGTTTCTGAAAACAAAGCAAAGCAACTTCAACAAAAAGAAAACCTCACTCTCCAAACAGTTGTTATCCCACAAATAACAAAGGATCCTGCATTTAACAGATCACATTTAAAAACATATTTATGCTTCGATTATCAGTGCCTTATAGATAAGAATAATCTATTCAAAAATAAATAAAGGAGTAAGTAAATCAGATAGTAAGTCTAATTGATGGCTATTTCTAGTGGAGATTTTAGCTGAATTTAGCTAAAATCAGCTAAATTTTAGCTGAGGTTATGTGCACATATGTGTGGTTATGTGGTTATGTGGTTGGGTGTGGGTATGTGCAATGGGTACAGGAGGCTCTGGAGTTGAAGGCAGCGAACAACCATCTGGAACTCCAGTTCCAAGAAGTCTGATGCTCTACTCTGGCCTCTGCTGCCATTGCATGACATGGGTGTACTTACATACATGTAGGCAAAATACTCATACACATAAAAATGAAGGAAAATAAAAAATTTAAAAAAAGAACCTTAAAAAAGTCAGGAGCATCTCTTTTTTAAAAAATATTTTTATTATTTTTATTTTATGTGTTTGAGTGTATTGCCTTCATGTATGTATGTGAGTGCACCCATATTGTGCAATACTGCGGAGGTCAGAAGAAGGCTTCGGATTCCCCTGAAACTGGAGTTAAGGACAGTTTGTAGCCACCATGTGGGTGCTGGGAATTGAACCTGGGTCCTCTGCGAGAGCAGTCACTGCTCTTAACCGATGAGCCATCCCTCCAGACCCAGGAGCAATTGTTTTAATAAAAAAGAATTGAATATCAGAAATTGCCTTGCTCCAAAGTAGATTTGGACTTACCATTTCTTCATTTAAAAAAAGAAAAAAAAAAAAAGTCGACAATATAAGTAGCCTATCTGGGGTTTGGATTAATCATATGTTAAAAAATTGCCTGAAAGACATCCACTCACTCTTTAAAAAGTTACTCTAGTCACATTTAAAAATAATGTGTTCTTCACTCTGAAAAAGTGCAATGGGTTAATTTGAAAAGGACGAATAATTCAACACAGAATTATGGACTTTTTTCTGAGTATTTTCCTATATGAATGTCTGCTTTATAATTGTTAAGGAAACTGGTACATGTAACAAACTCTGGAGTGCTCTTCATAGATGCAACTATATAAGTTTTTAGAAGAAAGTAAGGACTAAATTTAATAACTTTGCAAAGAGCACTTGCAGGATTCCTGTGTGGGTAAGGAGTGGACTTTTTTCAGTTCACAAAGTAATCTTGACGTTGTACTTAGAAGACGTGGGAGGTAAAAAGGAAACAAACAGGGGCTGGAGAGATGGCTCAGTGGTTAAGAAAACTGGTTGTTCTTGCAGAAGACCCGGGTTCGAATCCCAGCACCCACATGCCAGCTGACGACTGCCTGTAGCTCCAGTTCCAGGGGATCCAACAGCCTCTTCTGACCTCCGTGGGCACTGCATGACATGGTGCACTTACCTACATACAGGCAATACACAAATTCACATAAAATAAAAATAATATTAAAAAAAGGAAACAAACAGGATTTGCAAAAAATTCAGCCCGGGTTCGAATCCCAGCACCCACATGCCAGCTGACGACTGCCTGTAGCTCCAGTTCCAGGGGATCCAACAGCCTCTTCTGACCTCCGTGGGCACTGCATGACATGGTGCACTTACCTACATACAGGCAATACACAAATTCACATAAAATAAAAATAATATTAAAAAAAGGAAACAAACAGGATTTGCACAAAATTCAGAAGCTTTGAAGTGTGTGTGTGTGTGTGTGTGTGTGTGAGAGAGAGAGAGAGAGAGAGAGAGAGAGAGTCAGAGAGAATTTAGTGACGGCAGCCTAGCCATTTCTATTTGTACAATAAAATGAGAAGAAATAGAAGAAATTACAAAGTAGGATGGCTCAGCAGGTAAAAGCTCTTGCTGCCAAGCCTGAGGACCTGAGTTCGATCCTCAGGACCCACATAGTGGAAGGAGAGAACTAACTCTTACAAACTGCTCTCTGACATCCACACACACATGCTGTGATACGGATACGTGCATGCCCACATACACATATATACACACACTCACTAAATAAGGTGGAATAAATTTTTTTTAAAAATAGCCAGGTTTACTCTAAACATAAACTTAGTAGACCAAATAATCTCCAAGTGGGAAATACAATTAATATGTATATATCCAAATTTAAGATGTGCCAACATATAACCAAGTTCATAGTTTATATATGATACACTGTCTTTTTGTCTTATCAAATATAATAGAAAAGAACAAGTTGGAAATCTTCCTTCTGCCTCCCCAGCCTTGGGTCTTTCTGTGCAGGGTTAACCTCTGAAGTTCTGGCTGATCTTGTGCTCAGTGCATCTTGTCCAATAGTAATCCTCATGAAAAATGAGGTATTTCCTTGCTTCCCATCCACCATTTGCCCCGATTTTGGGTGTCCCTTCACCCTCCCCTGCCTGTCAGATCATAGGAGTGCACCAGCTGCATCGAATTGATTTAGGACAGTAAGCATTTTCTTGAAAATTAAATTCCCCTGGAAAATTTAACAGGACCAATAACAACATCCGAAAAACATGAGCAAAATGCCAGAGGTTGAGCTAAAATAAAGGCTGAGTCCTTTATGTCAGGGAGGAAGGGAAAAGGGTCAGATGAGAGCAGTGAAAGAAAAAGCAGGACAGCAGGAGAGGCATGGTGGAGAGGGGGGACCGAAATTAGAACAAGAGGCGATGTTTATTAATAACCTTACTGACCCACAGGCCCCTGACACAAAATACATTAAGGATTCTTGGGACACTCTGGCCTGTCACTCACAGGAGGAGCAAATCAAATGGTGCTGGAGACTGCAGACAGTCTGGGAACAAATTAAGAAGAAAAAATAAAATAAGGAGATGCACAGACTCAGGAGCATTAAGAAATCTTACGGTGCAAGGCCCCTTTCCTCCTGGTCAGCTCCCTCTCCAGGCAACTGCCTTCTGTTGACACTCAAACTAGGATTTAAAAAGCACAAGAAAATACTGTTCTCTGGGTTGCTAAAAGAATAAGCACCCAGGGGAAAATATTTTAAAAAAATATGGAAAACTTGGTGAAGTAACCCCAAATCACCCGAATCCTGTTCTAACTACAGCTACTGCTAACACATTGATACATATTATCTCCTCCTCCTCCTCCTCCTCCTCCTCCCCCCCCCTCCTCCTCTTCTTCTTCTTCTTCCTCTTCTTATTCTTTTTGAGACAAGGTCTCATGTAATGCAGGCTGGCCTTGGACTTGCTATTGCTGATGCTGACCTTGAACTTCTTGATTCTCCTGTCTCCACTTCCCAATTGCTGGGATTACAGATTATAGGTCAGCACCACCTATACTTGATTTTCTATTTGTAAGATATAATAAATATTGGCCCATATTGGTGAAACCATTTTAAACATTTTTTTTTCTTTTTTGGTCTTTTTGAGACAGGGTCTCCCTGTAGCCCCAGCTGGCCTGGAACTCACCATGTAGACTGGCCTCAAACTCACAGAAATCCGCCTGCCTCTGCCTCTCAAGTACTGGTAATAAAGGCATGCACCACCATGCCCAGCTAAACCATGGTTTTTATGTCACCATTATAGCTCCTTATTTGTAAGCAGATTCTGGGATTCCTTTGGTGTGGTTAATCGTGCATTTGTTTGATTGTGGTGCTGGAGATGGAACCCGGGCTTGTCATGCTAGGCAGGCATCTGACCACTGAACTACATCTCTGCCCCAATTATGTCATTTGTAAGTTTTACCTTCATAAAATATTTATAGGTGTCTAATTTGCTATAGGTAGAAACTTTGGCTGAAACCTTATTATCTATTTACTTACTGGTTAACATTTTGCAGAGTTGCCCTCTGAAATGTTTCTGATTATTTATCTTCTCACTGTGAATGAGAATGCAGATTTCATAGAATGTTATTAACTTCACAAAATAAAATAAGCAGTCCACTATTATTTGTATTCTTCTGATTGTTTGTGGTACTTTCTTTGTGTGTCTTTTATTTTTTAGTGTTTGGTCTTTTTCAGACAGGCTCACACAGTGTAGCCCAGGCTGCCTTGGGCTCACTGTGTAGCCCAGGCTGGCTTCTACTTTCAGCAATCTTCCTGCTTCAGTCTCTAGATTGCTGCAAATACAGATATGTGCCACCACGCACAGCTTTCTTTACATTTCTTGATTATTTGCCTCTTTTTGTGAGCACATGGGTGACTTCTGTGCTTTAATTTTTAAAATTTACTTAATAAAAAACAATCTTAAAGTTCATTATTAATAGCTGAGTATGTTGGTAATGCCTCCAATTGCAGTGCTTGGGAGGCTGAGGTAGGAGGATAGCTCACAGGTCAAGGCCAACCTGAGCTACAAAGTAAGACCTGGTCTCCAATCAATCAATCAATCAATCAATCAATCAATCATCAATCAATATCAACCAAGTGATCTTAACCCTTTCACTATCAGATACTGTGAGCACTTTCTGTTCTGTCACTGAGTTCTTAATGCATTATGCACAGTAAGTGTGTGTATATTTTCCTTTCTTCCTTTGCATTTAGGATTGGTTAGACTTGTGCATCCCATGGTGAGGGATTATTAACCTGCTTTATCTTCTAGGACTTTTGAAGTGGCACTTTTTACTTTTGAAACATTTAAATCTCTCTTTTCTCTGCAGTTTGTTTAGATCATGTGGTAAGAATTCATTTAATACAACTTCTCTTTACTAATCTAAGTATTGTATGTTAGTGTCCCTCTTTCTGGGTTTTTATGTGTTATCATTTTTGTCTCTACTTTCCCCCAACCCTTCCTTTTCTGTTATTTTAACTATGCTTTCATATCTAGTAATATAAGTTCTTCCTTACTGAGTTCTGTTCTGGGAGTGGATTTTTTTGAATAATATAGGCAGGTAATATTATCAAATGTAAACAATGATTTTTCTGTCTCCCTACCTCCCCCCAAATATAGAAATTCTTTATTTTTCCCTGTCTTATTGAGGAAGACTAGAAATCCCGTACCATTTAAAGTACTGTTCTTTGGAAAAGCCTCCAGTGTTTCACTCTTAAGTCTACAGACCTGAACACATTGTGTTTCTGGTGAGCTCTAGTGTTCGTATTTAACTTTAAATCACCGCTCTTCGGTCTTCAGTTTGCTGCCCCACAGGATGCCTTTGAGGCCATTTTTCCAAATGCTGAATAAATCTGATGTGTTTTGTACCTGAGTGTTCTCTGTGCATATAAATACCCCCTGCATATAACGGTTGATTCTTCTTTTCATGCTAAATGTCCATTGCCCACTGGCAGTAGAACCCTCCTTTAATGCCCAGATAGTAAAGATCTGAGCTGCCCTTGTTTTATTACATATGAAACTACCAGGCTATTTTCTGCCAAGTTAAAAGTTAGTATCTTGCATAACATTTTCTATTTTTGCATTTTAAGGAAATGCTAAACTATTTTCTCACATAGAAATTATCATTTCATTTGAATTTGCTGACTTTTTGCCAGTGGGAGGTAAAAATAACCCAGAGTTTTGCATATGCCATGCAGAAAGAATTGGTTCCTGGGTTAGACTGGTTAAAACAATCAGTGAGAAGAGACTGAGCGAGAAAAAAAGAAAAACTGAGTCCTGCAGCAACAGTTGGCGATAAAACTGGGGATGCCTATGGGAAGCAGAATGGTGGATGCCTTTAGAATGGGCCAGCCTAATGGTGGTGGGGCCTTAAACATGTCATTGTGTCACCCTCCACTTGCATGTCTTCACCTCAGAATTGTGAGATAATGCAAGAATTACAGACAACTTCCATTAAGCATTTAGTTTGACATGTGTCACCTAGCAGGTACTTATACAGTTACTGTTGGGTCTATTAGATTTGAAGGGAGGTATATGGACCACGCTTTAGATAACAAATGGAAAATAAAGACCCCTTTCCACCATGACCCTTCTCTACACAGAACTAACCCCAAGTACACACAAGAATTTCAGGGTTTAGGCAGCAGAAAGTGAGGTGCTGGGGGTAGAGTTAAACTGATAGTCTTCTTCCCTTCTTCCTCTGTCTGCTGGTTTTCCTTGGACCTGACTTGCTGTTCCAAGCTGCTGGAGCAAGACTTTTGGATGTGGCAACCCTGCCTTTTTCTGAGGGAGATATTCAGATAATATGGTGAATTAAATAATCATACCCGTGTGCCTAGCATTTAAGAAACTTGCCAGCACTCTTTAATTTTTCCAATTTGTTAGCCTAGTGAATACCCCTATTAGTATAAAACTTAGATTTTAAGGAGGCAGTATAAGAATTTTCTTCTATTTCCCCAATGAAGATAGAAATCTGTATATTTTAATGTGGTAGGAGGTATCTGTATTATTACTGTTTAAAATTAAGTATCCTCTACAGCATTTTTTTTCTTGTTTATTTTATCTGTCTTGCCTTCTCACAGGGGCAGAATTGAGGCCCCCATTTGGTTTTTATTAGCATAATCAGTTAATAGCTGTTCTATAATGCTTTACTTATTGTGTTAATTTTCTGTAGTTATGTCCAGAGGCTGCTTCCTGGAAGACCACATTAAATAAATAAATAAATAAATAAAACCTTGGAACTTACTTCTGTAAAGGGTTTGATTACCACTTATAGTTTCAGCTCAGATTATTGAACATTATTGGTCTACAAGGGTATTGGAAATACATGTAAACTGTAGCTAGTATTTTAAATATGTGTGTGAGGATGCCTAACCATTCCAGCAGCGTGACTAGGAGTAAGTATGACTGCTGATGCCTGGAGTGAACTTAGTATCACATCAGCTCTTTGGACTTGATTCTTTGCTCTGAATTCCCCAGCAGTCTTAGAGCACTGCTACCGTGCATGTGTAGTATTTCCAATAAATTAGTACTGATGGTGAAGCCGAAGTAAAGTTCTACTTTAAGAATCATGTCAGTGATGGCTGTGAGAAAAAGGAATGAGCAGGAGACCAGAAATCACAGGGAAGCAGTGCACATTGGGCAAGTCACTTCTCCTTGGTCAATTGTCTCTCTCTCTCTCTTTTCACATGAAGGCTCTGAAGAAGACTCACCAAAGAGACATCTAAGAAAGTCAATGATCTTGTAAGACTGGTCAGCCCTGTACATGAAGCCAGAAGGTTCAGCTGTTCTACAACCTTTAGCTCCCAAAGCAGGTAGAGTCTGTGAGTTATGATTGAATGCACACTGGGAAGATGCTCAGGGGTCACTATGGGGATGGATGGAAGGAAAGACAGTAGTGTGCAAGGGTATGGCTGGCAATGCTATGCAGATAAAGATATGAGCTCTATGATTGCCCATTATTAAAGTAGAGAATGGATCAGATGCTGTGTTCAGATCAGTTCAGCCAGTGTGCCACCTGTGCTGGCTTTTTTGAAGTCCTGCTCACAGGGGTGATGTTTGAGAGCTTTTACTTCAGGTAATAAGCCCACAGGAGGTAACGAATAGATTTGCAAGGAAAAGAGGGAGCCCACACACAATTCAATGAGGAGCACTCTGAAGCATTTCAAGGAAGAGTCTGAAAAATAATCACAAAAGTTTAATAAGAATAGAATCTTAACCATGATCTGATTTTCTTCCAAAAAGCAATTTTGGACATAATTTTCAAGTGGGTAAGCTACAAAAATCAGTGACTGGGCCTGAATGTTTTTATTTGTGTCTTGGGGCATCTAGTCCTTCAAAAAAAATGCAAAGATAATTTTCTGGAAAGATTAATGTGTACAGCCTTAGCTGACCAGCACTCGTAGAAAGTATGGCACGTAGAATCATGGAGATTAAGAACTAGATTTAAATTGTGGAAGGGCCTAGTTAATATCAGTGAGTAATTAAGAAATCTGTAACATTGATTTGACAGAGAAAAACTCTATCAAGGTGTGATTGGAATTTTCCCTTCCAGTTGCTGTTGGGGATTTTAATGGCAATGTATCCTACATGGACTTGCATATTCACAGGACTAGTTCTCAAATTAAAATGGGGTTTCAAATCAGAGCATAGGAACAAACTAATTTATTTGAAGGGTAGCAGAGGAGGTTCTTACCTAAAAATAAATGTGATAGATTGGACTTCAATGTTAGGTTGCATTAAAAAATTTTCAAACCCTCAAATCCTTCATAGTTCATATAGATACAAACACCAGTTCCTCTGAGGTGAATAATGGGTATCGTTTTTTTGTTTGTTTGTTTTTTCGAGTTTTTTTGTATTGCAGCCCAAGTACTTGCCACCTGCTTTTGGGTCCATAACAGAGTCCTCTAACTGTTTTTGAAGCAGCAGAATAAAAATACTTTATTAACTTTGTGTGTCTGTGTATGATAGAATGTGTGTATTTGTGTGTAATGTGTATGAGTGACAACATGTATGCACGTGTGTAAATGTAATGTATATAGACATGTGTACACAGGTGCAGAGATCAGAGGAGGATGTTGGGTAGCCTGCACTATTTCTCTATCCTTTGAGACAGGGTCTCTGAAACTGGAGCTAGGCTAACAGCCATCAAGCCCCAGCAATTTTCCTGTCGCTGTCCCCTACAGGACTGGGGTTATAGGGACACATGCAACTACACTCAACTGTTTATGTGGGTACCAGGATCCAAGCTCAGGTTCTCGTGTTTGTGCAGCAGGCACTCTTACCCACCGAGCCATATCCCCAACCCCACTCTGTTAATTTTTGAGTTATAGCAGAGCATCTTCCAGTAACTGGAAGGATTAACCACTTGTGCACTGAGGAAGAACCTCAGAGACAGTTTTAGGCTGCATTTGGCTAGTATTTTGCCGAACTTAAAAATCAAGAAACTTTACCTTCATATAACAATATGAATTTCTGGTTTTCTTTGAAACATCTGAAGGTATGGTTCTGTGGTTCATATTTCTGGGAATCAGGAGTAGCCTGCCTTTACTGTCTGTCACCTTTCATAAGTGTGAATCATGGGCCAGAAGTGGCGAGGCATGCCTATAATCCCAGCGCTTGGGAGCCTGAGGCAGGATTGGGAGTTTGAGGCCATCCTGGCCTACACAATACGTTTGAGGCTAGTCCGAGCTATACAGTGAAACTTTTCTTAAAAAAGATGTGACTGGAGAGATGACTCAGTGATTAAGAACACTTGCTGCTTTTCCAAAGGACCCAGGTTCGATTCCCAGCACCCACATGACAGCTAACAACTGTCTGTAACTCCAGTTTCAGGGCATCTGATGCTCTCTTCTGGCTTCTGCAGGCTTTGCACAACATGGGTGTACTTACACACATGTAGGCAATACACTCATACACATAAAATAAAAAAACAATAACATAAAAATTCAACAAATTAAAAAAGAGTTATATTTGGGGAAGAAGCATAAAAATGTGCTCCATGTTAATTAGTAGAGGTGAAACACATTACCATTGAAATCTACCTGATGACTTTATATCCATGCTCAGGTGGCTCTCAGAAAGTAACCGACAGTGACTAGTAATAATAAGATACATAGAGATTAGAGATGCATGTCCAAACATCTAAGTGTTGGTGACATTAAAAATGAGTTTTTCTGTATGAAACAGTATATTTTAAAATGAAATGGGGATCTTTTTTAAAGGTTAAAACCTCATTCAAATTTATGTCTTATAGGGTTTATTCTGAGTTCAATATTGTATAACTGTATTACTTCAACAGTGAACCTGAAAATTTACAGCCAATTTTGAAAGAGATGCATCTTTGCTCTGGAAATTGTTATTGACTATGTTAATGCTGTAATGAAATGCTTCTTCTGATCACATGGTTATTAAATAATTAAAAAAATAAATAAATCAAAATATTGATAAGATTAAAAAACCTCAATAAATAAAATAATTTTTAAAATGTGACTGGAGGTAGGGTCAGAGTTTGAACCTTGGAAGCCCTAACAAACCAAGATTGTCACTTATCCTCAATAAATAATTAAAGAGAAAAAGTAACAGTCAAAGCAATAAAAGGAAATTTATTCAATGTGGCCACACTGTGAAGAGGGACAAAGATGTCCAGTGACACTCCCCACCCCACCCCTTGCCTTTAAGGTTACAGAGGTTTAGGTTTAAAAAGAGGGCAAGATAGATGCATGGCTAATCAGTCTGGTCAAGGTGTGGTTTCTCTGGTCATCATTGCTAGAACTCCAGTCTCTCCTACAACCAAATTGTCAAACCTGTGTGAAATTTCTGGAAGACAAGCTCCCCCTCTGATTGGCTCCAGGCTCCTAGGCTTTTTCTTTGCCCCTGTATGAGATTCCTGGAGAAATCTCAACTCCTTACAACGCATTGTCTCAAGAGTCTGCTAGCACAGTGTGGATTTGGAATATCTTCATTATGGCCCCTCTGTTAGGTCACATGCTGCGTTGATGCATGGGTAGCATTCCCCTGCTCATGGTTTTGGGCTGGCTTTGGTCTTTTAGGACTCTGCTATAGTTTGAATCTGGAGTGTCTCCTAAAGGCCTGTGTTGTGCAGGGCTTAGTCTTTAAATCATGTGACCATTGGCAAGTTATGTAGCACTTAGGAGGTGGGGCCTAGTGGGAAGAAGTGAGATCACTGGAAGGCTTGCCTTTCTATCTATCTGCCTCTGTCTGTCTCTGTCTTTGTCTGTCTGTCTGTCTGTCTCTGTTCCTCTCTCTGTATGCTTTCAGGGGCCATATGGAAATCAGGTTCCTCTGACACATGTTCCTACCACGATGTTCTGTACCATCACAAGCCCAAAGCAACAGGACATGATCATGAACTGACACTGATAAAACCGTGAGCCAAAATAAACCTTTCTTCCTTAAAAGTTAATTTTCTCAGGTATTTTGTTAGAGCAATGTAAAGTTGAGCAACACAGGCCCTTAGAACTGACAAGTGTTCAGTGTATGTGTTTTCATTGGATTTGAGCAAGTTAAAGATCCAAATGTGAGCTAAATCATTTCCTCAAGCCCAATGAAAAGAGAAAGCACGATTCTAAATACTAGGCTTGGAGTGAATCTAGTGTGCACGTTCCTCCTACTTCACTGTGGCTCCAGTGAGGATTGAGTGGGATTGAAGCACTAAATAACCCTAATGATATCGGGTAGGAGCTCACCAGGGAGCTGTTCAGGAGTTTGTCAGAGCATATTAAAATACAATACATTGCCATCATCCGAAATGGGACATCAGTCCATCTGTCCATTCACTCTTTTCGGATATTAAATTAGTCCAGGGACTTTTTAAAATTACATCATCTACTCAGACCCCCTTCTTTAGTGAATAAAAACGTGGTATGAACAGAGAGAAAATCAGAATAATGCACACTGGTGGAAGTTCTGTAATTGAAATCATTATTGCTTCAGACACCGTGGCTTTAATCAGCGGTATCATAAATCAATGCTTTTCACAAGTGAAGGTTTAAAATAAAGTGCTGTTAAACAAATTGGGCCTCTTAAAAGGCATGATGCAATTGGAAGCCATTGAAAATGGATAAAAAAGTGCTTTCTGAAGGGATACATCGTTCCAGCATTTTATCTTCCACTTAATTAAAAAAAATATATTACCTGGTCCTTTCTTAGAAATTACATATTGGAGGTCTATAATGGCCGAGCCTTTAACCCATTAAAAAAATTTACTCCCAGGAACAGTTAATATTTGACGTTTAATTGCTTTTACTTGTTGGAGAAGAAAATATGTTTCTTTCCTTCCTTTCTTGATTGACTGTTCAGAATTCACCTTGTGAGCTATGAAGATGGAGAGGAGCCATTGGTTTTCAAAAAGTCCCACATGCACATGTGCATTTGCATACAGTATGTATACACAAAGTCTCCCTTGTACCAGGAGCTGGTATTTCCCTCCCCATAACTCTGTCATGCACTTATTACTGTCTCCATTAAAGAAATCGGAGGCAGGGGTCTAAAGAGGTTAAGTGCTTGCATAGGGTTACCTAGGCAGTCACTGATGGGAATCCATATTCCTCTCACCATGGTCCCTGATTGTTGCTGTGCTCCTTGGGTAGGTGTGGAGAGGTCAGTGGAGCCAGGACACAAAGCCACACTAATGGTTCCCATGCTGGAGCATCTGATCCTCACAAGGCTTTCAGCTAGCATCTGACCCTGGGATTTTTGCCATATCATGTGCAAAGCCCACCTATGATTTGAGGCTTTCCTGTGAGTGTTTCAGGGTGATGATGGAGCAAGAAGAAACTCCTGAATGAACCACGACACTCACATCAGCTTCAAAGAGATTTCTCATCAGACGTGGATGAGCAGGAGGGCCAGGCATCTTCTAAAACAAAGTTTGTGTGGACCGCACTTGAGTTCAGGCTTAGTATGAGCAGGATGTCCTTGTGCAGATGAAGGAAACCATTTATTTGATTTCCTCCTGTCAGAAAACTTCTATTTCAGCATTGTTTGCCTTCTCCCTTTCCCAGACAGTAAATTCAGCACTGAACACCCAAGTGCTCTCTTTTTCTTCTCCTTTTCTCCCCACAAAGCCAGGTATTATTTAAGGCTCTTGAAAAGCTGCACAAACCAACTGCTCCTACAGATTATCCCTTCAGAGCTCAAGTGATAGGCCTCATCGGGTTACGCCTCCGGTGACTTGTGGTCACATGTGGGCTGTGCCACGCTCTCTTATTCCACCTCGCAGGAAAATATTTGTATGTTGGTTTCACCAGGTCCCATTTCCCCTTGGGATTGATCATGTGGGCGCCATCATTATGTCGCCGGTAAACAGCGGAGCCACTAGCTTTCATAGAGAGGACTGGACATCTGACAGAAGACCAAGAAACCACGCTTCCCGTCTGACTTCATGCAGCCAGGAAGTAATAAGGTTAGTCACGACAGGATAAATGCTTTTCTTTTTTATTGTGTGTGGGCATGTGTGGTGTATGCCTGTGAGTGGGAGTGAAGAAAGGCTATCAGCGTGCCTCCCTATAGCTCACATTCCTACAACCTCCTGTCCTGTACCTCACCCCTACCCCCAGGGCTGAGATTACAGGCCAACACGGCCTGACTCAGGTCCTCCTGCTTACTCAGTAGGCCTTCTTATCACGGTACCATCTCCCTTACCCTGAGATTTTTTCTTAGAGGTGCAGTACTTTACTGTGAGAAAGCACTGGGGAGGAACCCGGCCCAGGGCATGCAAATGGGAATTTGTGCTAGTCACAGACTCTTCCCCCTAGATCTGGAAACACATGAAAGCCTCCGAGCACACTGTCTTTTTAAAGTTAATGTTTTTTCCTGTTTTTCCTTTCAGGCCTCCCTTTCTTCTTGCTTTTTTCCTATTTTCTTTTAACCCTTATTTATACTAATTTTCGTTTCTCAGTAAGGAGCAGTGAAATAGATGTGCCCATATTGTTGTGATAGGGATCTTCGGCAAAACCCAGCAACTACACTAACATATATCTCACTACCTTCCCCTTTCTTTCCCTCTCCTCCTTCCTCCCGCCCTTCTTCCCTCCGTCCCTTCCTTCCCTTTCCAATTTTCTTTTTCTCCTTCCTTCCTTCCTTCCTTCCTTCCTTCCTTCCTTCCTTCCTCCCTCCCTTTACTTTTCTCCCTCCTCTCCCTCACTATTCCCCCCTCCCTCCCTCCTTCTCCCTCCCTCCCTCCTTCCTTCCTTCCTTCTTTTTTTCCTTCCTTCCCTATCTCCTTCCTTCCCTTTCTTCTTTGATGGGGTCGTATCTCAGGTTGGCCTCAAACTTGCAAAATTGCCAAGGAGGACCCTAACTTTGGATCTTCATGCCTCCATCCCTGGGTACTGTGACTACACCATGACAAATTTATGCAGTGCTGGGGAACAAATCTAGGGCTTCATGCATGCACTGGCTACCTGAGCTACATCCTAGCCCTTAAATCTTTAAAAAATTGTTTTGAGACTACTTATATTCTTATAATAGCCATGTAAAAAAGCAAACAGGAAAGCTTAAGTCCAGAGAGAACAGCCAAACTTACAGTCTTACCTGCAACTAACAAATTACAATGAACAAAATTATTAATTAACAAATTAGTAATTAGCAAAACAGCCAATAGCAGACTTCAATGGTTAAAGCCTTTCCTCTGGATGAGATTTAAGCACTACATGAATGATCTTCAGCTATGAGATTCTAATTGATATCCTGCCAATTGAAAGGAAGCTCAAAGGAAGAAGTCATACTTGTGGTCCAAAGGTCTTTGAAAAGACTGTGTCTAGATTGTTTGAGAAGTTTCTTTTGGCTGAGGTCTAGAACAGTGTTTTTTAAAAACTTACTTTGTGTGAGAACATATCTGAAACTATTCATGGAATTTATGGTTTATTTCTCCAGAAAAAAATATATATCAGTAACATCTTGCGGTATATCTATTTACTTTAAGATTCATTGCTGGTTTGAGGGTTTTAAGTTAAAGCTTCCTTTTCTAGTTTGGCTTGCAGAATATTTTTATGAGACAGTTTAGTGGCGAGGTCCTTTTCCTAACAGTTCAAGCATGGGTAGTTTCTTCAGAATGTCTTTTACTCCTGGATGACTGAAGTATAACGTAAGAATGATAATACGTTTCAGCATTTTCCTTGTGATATCAATTCTTAGTTTCTGTTTTTGAGACAGGGTCTTCCTGTAGCCTTTAGCTAGTCTGAAACTTACTATATAGACCAGGAACTCACAGAGATCCACCTTCTTCTACCTCCTGAGTAGTGGCATTAAGGTGTGTGAGACCATGCCCACCATGGTACGATGTTTTTAAAATGCTTAAATCCTATTTTATATTACATTTTAGTTATTTATTTCTGGGGAGGTCAGAGGACAATTTTTGGACATCGGTTCTGTCCTTTCACCTGTGGGTCTGGGGATCGCATTTTGTTCTTTAGGCTTGATGGCAAGCATCTTACTTGCTGGGCCATCTCACCGCCCCTTCAGAACATTCTTTCACATAAAGTCATGTTTATTTGGACATTTGAGTTTAAGTTCACAGCTAAAACCTGCCCTCAGGTTTTCCATGGGAAAGTAAAAAAGTACACAGCAGTATCAACAAAGCTTTTGCCTGGCAGCGTAATTGATTCTGTGCCAAAGAATAAAGCTTAGCAAGGTGAATGGACGGTCTTTTGAGTGGTTTTTCTTAGCACACCAGAGGAAAGGGATTTTGGTTAAATATATCTGTGTTAAGTGCACGTGTAAGACATAACAGCTTTAGACGACACAAAAACGGGGTGGATGATGCCATGCATGAGATTCCAAGAGGGACCTGATGCACAGGGTTCTGGATGTGTGCTGGCAGCCTCCTGGAGCTCTCCCCCGTGCTCCTAATGAAATTATGACCGGCTCATGACTTCATCGTATGAGATGTTTTCATCATCTCAAGGATGGAAATTATTTTTACCATTTCCATTTCCTGAAATTGAAAAAAATTCTCAGGTACCCTGCCTCTACTAAAAGGCCACCAGTGACATCCTGCTAAAATGCAAAGACTCCATGTGCACTCTCTATGCCACACTTAGCAGTCACTTGGCTGTCTATTTCAGGAACTTTCCCTCGGCAGTGGTCTCTGCCTACGTTACAGAAGACAGCAAAAATACAGGAATTCATGCATCTGGTCAATTACACAAGGCTGGATCAACAGGGGAAATTCCTTCCTCACTTCAGCTGGTGAACAGTTATGCCCTGGAGCCCAGGACGGACATGCCTTGTAACTTTTTAACCTAGTTAGTGTAACTGCCAATATTATTCCTATCCATATAAATGTCTAATCCTTTCTTGAATCTTGCTAGACTATTTACTTCAATAATATCCTGCAGCAGTGAATTCCAAAGGTAGATTAAATGCTGCTTTAAAAAGTATTTCCTTTATTCCTTTAAATTTGTTGCCTTTTAAAGTTGCAATGTGGCTCTTGCTCTTGCCATAAGTGGCACAGGATAAAGACATTTCAAACTGAGCTTTAATTCTCCCCAGCATTTTCTTAACTATTATTAAAACCCTGTCTTCGGCACGGTGGCACATGCCTTTAATCCCAGCACTCGGGAGGCAGAGGCAGGCAGATCTCTATGAGTTCAAGGCTAGCCTGGTCTACATAGTGAGTTCCAGGACAACTGAGTCTACAGGGAGACCCTGTCTCAAAAAGACCAAAACAAAACAAAACAAAAAACCCTGTCTTCTCTCTATATTTTGTCCCTTATAATAGTGAAAAGTGAAATGATTTGAATAAGTGGTTTTATGCTACTTGAGACACATAGCAAACATTGGCCAAAAAACTTTCCTTAGTGTTCATTGTAATTTATTAGACAAATATTTACAGAGTACTTATTTGTGTAGGACCTGCTTCAGTTTTGGAGAGACAGCTTTGAATAAGACTGACACATTGTTCAGAGGGACATGATTTTCCTAGAGAGGGAAATTGGCAGTAAAATAGTGAGTAAATATATGAAATTCAGTTTTGGATGGTTCCATAGCCATGGGCTCCACTTGCCTCCTCAAATAGAACCAGACTTGGTTTCTTACCATTTTCTTCTCAACAACGTAGCACAATAGTTATTTATATAGCTTTTACATTGCATTAAGTATTGCAAGTTATGTAGAAATGGTTACAGTACATGCTCCAATTACCTAAGTTATATGCAATTCCATACCGTGTAATAAAGGGACTTGAATATTGTGAGACTTTGGGTCTTTGGAGGCTTTTGAACTAATCACCATGATACTGAAGGATGACTATGTTATAGGATAGTTCAAAGAGTGAAGGGAAAGGATGCCAGGGCCACCTTAGGCCATGGGGTTAGATGCAAACTGCAAAAAGGGCAGCTGGGCCCAGTGACTGAGTCATCTGTGTGACATCTCATGAAGGCAAGCAAGCACCCAGCAGTAGATGTGGTTCCATCATTTGTTGAGCATGTGAATGAATCAAGGTTGTGAAGGACGTCTCAGTTAAAAAGATCCTATAGAAAATGACTCAGTAGATTCAGGAGTAATGAATCTCCAATGCTTGTTGTAACACTGAAGAGTGTTAAGAGTAGAAAGAGCAAGGGATTTAGCTCGGGAGAGTCCAGTTGCAGGACTTGAGCTCCTGACTAGTCAGCTTCATGACCTTCTGTAGGCTGCCTAGTGCTCTAATTCTTCATAAAAGTAAGAACGTTTGCTTCCTTCCTGGGTTTTGAGAATTTAGATAACATTATGTGGAAACTCTGTATAAGCTGTCGAGTGGCATAAATGGTCTAGAAATTTGGTTTTGTTTTCATACTGTTTTCTACACACGGTCTCACGTAGTTCAGGCTTGCATAAACTCACTACATAGCTGAGGATGACCTTGAACTCCTGATCCTTCTGCATCCACCTGTCTAGTTGTCTGCTGTGTACTGCCCCTCCCATTTATTCAGTGCTGGAGATAGAACTCAGGACTTTGTGCATGCTAGGCAAGTATTTTCCCAACTAAACTACAGCCCCAGCTCTGAGACTGGTTATTCTTGCAAGTGGTTGTTCCTACAGAGGATATACCTTAGGCATGGGCCATAAGCCCTATCCACAGGTGCACTGGGTATCCAGTCTTTCATTCTTCCCACCTTTCTCAATTCCTTATTTTAACTCTGCCTCTACTGACAGCCCACCAGTGACATCCTGCTAGCACTCTGCCTTAGAGCTGACATAGACAGGGAGAACTCATCTTCTCAAGATTGTAGTCTTATTTCTTAAGGATTTTAAAAATGGAATCACATGGCATAGAGTTCTTGTTTGTTGATACAATGGACTGGAGGTAGATTTCAAATAGCAATTGTTTGCTTTTATTTTGTTTACTGCTTAATCTTCTGGGGTCAGGTTAACTGAACGTCTGCATATAAAGACAGAATCTTCACTTGAATTTCTGAGGGAATTTGCCCCTGGAAACCAGACTTTGGCCTCATTACCTGAGCTTGGCTTTCTCCCACCAAGTTCCAGTATGGTAGGCATATATGGTTTCCTCATGTAGCCTCTCGTGATTCTTTTTAATTGCCCCTTAATGTACTTCTTTTTTTTCCACTGAGGCAATTTGAAGTAGAGGCATGTGCAGCTCTGCATAATAATGCATTATAAAGGCATTTCAAGGAATAAATTATTAGGATTGTTTACACGCATGGTTCAAATTTACTGGCAAATTGCTTGGGCCTCTGTTGTAGGATGGAGCTGCGGGTCAAGCTCCTTCTGGGTGAAAGTCTGAAATAGGAGAAGTTGCCCTTTGCTGTCCCTCACAGGCACTTCCTCTGCCTGGTTCCTGCCCTTTCAACACCTCTCTCCTTTCCCAGCCCTGAATAACTGTGTGGGACTGTCAGGCCTTTTGCACCTTTATGTGAAGACATTCTGTGGGTCCCTCCCAGGTCAACCCCAACCAAAGTGAGGTGTGCAGAGGAATAAATCTTCAATAGTATAATTTTAGATGCTCTGGCAACTCAGGAGGGCAGCTATTTTGGGCTGTGGGGCTTTCTCCTTGACCTGAGATGACACGGTTTTGCCTGCTGCTAGCTTGGCCAGCCAACCCTGTACACGGTCCTTTTAGTACTGTCTTTGCTGTCCCTGGGGTAGCTTCTTCATTCCTCTACTGAGGCATCCTGTGCTCATCTTGCATCGAGTGTGCTTGTGCAGGGGCCTGGATGTGTTGACAAGTCCTCACATAGGCTTGTTGTGGGCTGACCCTCCAAGGTGGTGATCCAGCACACCCCTTGGAGGTAGACTCCCCTCCACACAGGGGGTGGAGGAAAATCGCTGGTCCATTTTCTGCATGTCCTTCAGTCTTTATGCTTTATCAGCTGCTCAGCCAGCATTGTGAGTCACTCCCCCTTGAAGCCAGGCAGATCTCTAGGCCACCGTGTCTGAGCCTTGCCACCTACACTGCCTGGTTTGAAGCTCTTCTGACCACCCTGCTTGCTGCCTTCCCAAGACTCTTGATGCAGCTGCCGTCTGCAGACCTCCTGGACTCCCCAGGAAAGGGAGTGGGAGTTCCTGCAGCAGATGGGCAGAACACAGACAAGAAGAGAAGAGGCAAAGGTGGCCAAAAACAACAGTGCCTTCCAGATGAGGTGACCTCAGAGCCAAGAGCATCACTGGGGCAGAGTATCTTGTTCCTGATTTTATGACCTAAAAACTACACAGAAGATTCAAAGATACTTTAGAGAGGGGGAATGAAGTCAGCAAAGAAAAGGGAAATGAGACTAGTTAGGCTCTTTTAAAATGGAGTTTCTTTGTGAACACACACACACACACACACACACACACACACACACATACAAAGAGAAATCGGAGACTTTTTTATATAAGTATGGAGAGAGAGGGAGACCTTGATTGAGAGACAGAGAGAGAGGCAGAGACAGAGACAGATATATAGAGAAAGACAGAGAGAGAGAGACAGAAAGAGAATAAAAAACAATAGAAGACAAAAAGGAGAAAAAAGTCCAGACAAAGTTGACTTCCCTGTTTGCTTTGGAAATAAATTTAGTAAATCTTTACTGAGAACCAAGTATGTCTGACCTCTTTACAGCACCATAAAACTTACTAATGTAAAACCAAAGCTTTCACTGTATCATGCTTAATCATGGTTTTGAGTGTCAACCTGGATCAGCTGGGTGGTCTCCTAAGTCTTTCATGAGGTTGAGGCTGGCAGGTGGCAGACGCTGGCTTCTCTAAGGCTTTCTTCCTCATGTATCTGATGCTTGATGCTGGCTGGCCACTGCTGCAACCTGGGCTGAGGATGTTTGGTGAAACAACAAAATGAGGTCATTCCCCACAGCTTGAGCCTCCTCAGCATCTCAGCCTTATGCTTCTTACATGGTTTCTTAGGATTCCAAAAATGAATGTCCTAAGAGAACAACATAGAAACGGAATCATCCCTTTGGTGTAGCTGAGTTATATACCCCATCGTTTCACCTGTCATAAGATCAGCTCAGTTTCAAGGGGTGGGCACCTCTAGAATTGAGACGTTCTATAGCACTTGTATACATGTTAAAACTTCTAAGCTATCTACCCAGGATATCAGCTACCCCCAACTCCAAAACTCCAAGAGTATCTGCCTACTTGGAACTATAAATGTATAGTAAGAGACTGGGATTATAGCTCAGTGGTACACCACTTGTCCAGCATACACAAGGTCCTATGTTCCATCCCTAGCACTTCAAAGACAAAAATGGAATTTGGTGTATGTTCAGTGGAAAAGAACGAAACTTTCATCTGCAGGGGAATGAGGTGATAACTGAGTGTATACAGGGTATAGCTGTATGGAGTCATACACACCTATAATCATAGCACTGAGGAGGCTGAGACAGGAAGATCTTGAGTTTGAGGCTAACCTGGGCTATATATAGCAAGACTGACTCAAAAAGACAAAAACACTTTAATGCATAAAGGTCATAAGCATAACACCATGAGACCTGTGGGCACTTAGCACTGGAGAGACCTGAAGGCCATCAGGATGCAGAGACACAGAGGCTAATATCCTCTAACTCTGGAGAAGGTGTTCCAGCCAGCTTTCTTCAAGCCTATGTGTATGTTCAAAGTAACTTACATGCTTGTTACTGCTCTTTCCCTCCTTCATTTGGGTTCCACCAACTGCTTTTTCTTTTGAATGCATTATTCAACTACAGTTGTGAAAATCTTCCCTGTCCCTGAATGTCCTGTGACCATGATTTCATCCTTTCTGTGTATGAGAGGCTAGCCTCTGTCTCCTCTATTTCTGTGTATGAGAGGCTAGCCTCTGTCTCCTTCTCTATTTCTGTGTATGGGAGGCTAGCCTCTATGTCCTCTATTTCTGTGTATGAGAAACTAGCTTTTGTCTCCTTCTCTATTTATTGCAGAATGATGAACCCTTTCATCTCATTCCTAAGTTGATTGCTTGCAATACATATTTATTTTATTTTGCCTTCCCCCTTAATGGCTCCTGTCCCCTGTCTTCTAGAACAGTGTCTTATTTTCCATGTGTATTATGCTTTCCCTCTCTGCTCTCATCTGTCTTAACCTAGCAGACAGTGGCCAGACAGTCAGAGGACATCAGGCCCTGGTACACAGTGTCCAGCCATCTCCACCAGGTACAGCTTTGACATCTTCCTATGGAGGAGGGCTCGCTCTAATCCTAGGACTTCAGGTGAGGTTTGCTGTTTTTTCTTTGGTAAGCCTTTCCTGCATTCCATCACCACTAAAAACACTTTTCATCTGGGCCTTTAGTCTCCAAGTGCCACCCGTGGTGGTATTCACCTTTAATCTTCATGGAGGCTGGGTTTCTTTTCTCTTAGTACAAAGGGACATATATATGCTGTTGAAAATTTAGGACACATAGGGAGGCAAAAGTGAAACAAACATGATAGATAGAGACATTGTTACTACCTTGATGTGGGCCCCTCTCAACATTTTCACTCCATATTGACAATTTTTATAGACAAAATACAGCACCGGGACTTAGGCCAGCAGAACTTTCCTCTACTTGCTGGCTTGTAGAACCAGTTCCACAGAACTTAAGTGCCTGGCCCTGGCTGACTGGAATAGAGCTAGCTAACTGGCCCTAGCTGGGCTTGTGTCTGTTCTTTCCTTGAGATTAAATCAGTATCTGAGACTGGACCTATACATCCTATGGAGGTGAGATTAATCATTGTACCTGGAAACTTGAAACTTTGCAGGAGATAACAGAAGAGACAGGGAGAAGCTGAGGAAAAGGCAGAGTTGTAGGAGCAAGTACTCAAACCCATCACTAATAGCCATTAGGAATTTCTGTTGGGCGGCCTCATATCCTTACCTTGCCTCTGTCTTAGAATGTATGGGATTCTTATATTTCCATCTGACAAGGCCTGTTCAAGACAGCTTTTTCAAATAAACTGCTTTTTCAATGAATAAGACACCATAATTTGCCTGTGATTCATATGGTCATCCAGATTATAATTCAGGATGATAAAATGGCCACTGTGAATCCTGATATTTGTGTACAAGTATAGATAATGAGAGAAGCTTGAGCTGTGGTATGGAAGGGTGCTGAGTTCCTCATGCACCTTTGCGTGTGAAGTAAAACACTGTTTGCCTCAGTATACTCATCTGTAAAAGGGCAAACTATAAGACCAAATTATACGATGAGTCCTAAAACTCTAACACATTGACACAGAAGGAAAACGTCTGTATATTTCACATGCCTTTTTATTATTGGTTTAATTTTTATTTATCTACTTATTTAGGTTTTTTGTTTGTTTGTTTGTTTTTTTTTTTAAAACAGAGTCTCATCTAGCCCAGGCTGGCCTTAAACTTGCTATGTAGCAGAGGTTGACCTTGAATTTTTGATTCTCCCACTTCCATCTCCCAAGTACAGGATTGACAGGCATGCTCTACCACACCCAGACCCTGTGAGATTAACTTCCTTTAACTAAAGAAAAAAAATGTGTATGAGTGTTTTGCCTGCATGTATGTAAGTACACCCCTGTTGTGCAATACGTGAAGAGGCCAGAAGAGGGCGATGGGTCATCTGGAACTGGAGTTTTGAATGGTTGTTAGCCACCATATGGGTGTTGGGAACTGAACCTTGGTCCTCTGAAAGAGCAACCAGTGCTCTTAACCACTGAGCCATCTCTCCATACCCCCATCCCCTGGCATTATTAATAACCACAAATCAGTTCTCTATCAAGAACACTTCTGTTTTCAACATGGTTAAGTAGAACTGCAACAAATACCTTTACAGCTGAATATTTGTGCATTATTATTCCTTGAGCTAAATGCTCCAAAGCTGAAATAACGGATCCAAGATCATGAGCACAAGAAATGCTTTAGGGAGGCGCCATCATCCCTGCTGCTACAACTCCTTGAGGCTGCCCACTCCTCAGCCTTTGTCATCCTTACCTCTGTCTTCCCTGTAGCTTTAAAGACAGAGCATTCCCTTCCACATCCAAGGTGTAGTCTATACTCCCAAGAAAATGAAAACACTGTCACATGGCATTTGGGACTTCTTAAGGTAAAATTTAAAATCATCTAGCTATTTACTTCCATGTCAAGTACAGATTAGGTTCATATATAAACAAAGCCTATGGATTAGATTTCCATTTGGAGAAACGACTCCAGGGTTGCTAACCATAGTGGAGGCTTTGTAGTCCTTGGGTGAAGAGTTCCAGATGGTTCTGAGGAAGTCAGAGACTGACTGGGATTTCTATAAATTCCTTCACAGATTTTATAAAATGTTCAGAGCAATATAGCCATTTGGAATATGAACATCTTTATCTTGGTCCTGCCCGGAATCACCAGCAGACCTGGCTTCACAGCTTGGAAGAATATTGATAAGAATTTAGTGAGCCACTGTGGGTTTTTGTTGTTCTTGCTTTGTTTTCAAGACAGGATCTCACTGTGTTCTCTGACTGGTCTGGAACTCACTATATAGACTAAGCTGGCCTTGAAGTCAGGAAGATGCACTTGCCTGGGTCTCCAGAGGCTGAGATTAAATGTGTGCACCACCATGCCTGGCCTGTGAGTTACTTCTTGAGCTACCACTGCACTGGGCGCTTGGGAAAGGAAAAGACAATCCACATGGCTCTGGATTAGAAGGAATGTGGTGTGCTTGGAAAGTAGATGTACAAATAATTATAAGGGAAAGGGACGCCTCTAGGATCAGGTATGCACTTGTAAGGAAGTCCAGAATTAAGTATTTCTAGAACTGAGGTTTACATAGTTGTCATTCAGTGCCTGGGTTTTTGTTTTATTTGGTTTTAAGTGATAGAATTTAGTTGTTTTTTTTTTATTATTTTTTATTTTAGTTTCCAACAATGATTAAGAGGAGATTTTTAGGTAAAGATTTCTGTATTACCTCAGAAAAATGGAAAAATTGGCAATACCAAGACTTCATTCTACCAAGACAGCAGTGAAGTGGGGTTGACTTTTTGGCAAATAAAGTTTTCCTTTTTAAAAAAACCGCAGCCCCTACCACGCCCTACTGTCTTACCCTGGACTGCTTTATGAAGTTTTTCCTGCTGTATGGGAGCTACAGCCAGGGCTTGGGGGAAGGAAGCCCTTGTTCGTTCCCAGGGTGTCAGAGAAGGCTCAGAAAGTTCTGGAGAGAAGACCTGTAGGGTGAGTAGGAATTTGCTATGCAGAGAAAAGTATGGGCTGGAGCCCAGAAGGGTGCTTGGACAATGATAAGCAGACTAGGACAGCATGGGCATTTAGCTGATGGCTGATAAGAGCTAAGAATGTCTCTCAGTGCACGCACCATGTATTCTATGGCTAAAGCCTAACCTATGTCACAGACAAGAAGCACCATTCTAGATGAGAAAATGCAGGTGGAGAGAGATGGGTTAAGAGACATCCACAACCAGTAAGTGACAAAGCTGGAAGCGAATCACAGCCTAATTGTTGAATTTTCCACTTTACCCTCAGGGTGTTATGCTTACCAGGGCTTCAGAGCATCTAGCCTGGCACAGTTGGGACGGCCATGGGACTGACTGCAGGAATGCTGAGAGAGGCAGCTGTCACCACCATGCAAGAGGGAGGACATTCTCCCCCAAGGAAGCCTCAGTGCCTGAACACAGGAGTGGCTGGAGGTGGGAAAGTCTGGCATCATGGACCAGTGAGAGCCTCTTCATGGAACCTTCCAGCCATGGGGGTTCCTCTTCCTGTCTTGAATTCCTAGAACACTTTGTGCTTCTTTCCCAGGGCCTCCTTGTAGCATGTGCCCAAACAGTTGTGCATCTTATCGCATCTAGTGTATTTTAAATTCCTTAAGGGCAGGAGGAATTATGCTTTATTTACCTTAAAAAATATATATTGCATTGTTGAGTCCAATGCTTTGGTAAATGAGTAAATTCCAAAATTATCATTTCAAGATCATTTCTCCTTATGTATGGAGTTTGGAAGTTAGTGGCAAGTTAAATACTTTTTCTTTCAGAATAGGAAAATGATTTCCTTAAACAGTCTACTTGAAACTATTTTAAAACGTAAGGAAAAGGAAGACTAGGAAGTTGTTTCAAACAGCAAAGCCTTTAAGAGTCAATGTCACATTTATTGCTATAAAATATTTTTCTCTCTCTGTTAGACATCTGGATCCCATTACATACAGTACTGGGTACTTGAGTTCACCAGCCATTTTGCATACCAAACAGAGTGCACACAAAATCCCCACAGACATGCAGCAGTACACATTTGCACGGTGCAATTCATACTTTACATATATAGACAACTCTTCCATTAGCCAACTAAGTGCTGACTGTTACATTTTTGAAGTTATTTTTTCTTATGTACCTCAAGGACCCAATTATGTACATCTGAGGAATGAAGAACTTCAAAACCCTGATGTCTTTTGTTTTCTGTCCTTGTATGGTCCAACTGTCTAAGACTTAGCACTGAAGTCAATGAAACATCTAAATCTGAAGTCTATATTTGCTTGTAACATTGACCCAGAAATGAGAAACACAATATGGAATTCTTGCTAATGAGTCATGAATTTCATTATAATTGCTTCCATACTCAGGATAGTTCCCTTAAACCATGTAATCTTGACATATCCTGCAACAATCCCATGTGTTGTAAATGATTTTGTTTTATTTCTTGGGTTACTGTTAAGGGCTTATTTTCTGGTTCATTTCATTTTCTTAAAGAAAACCACACACTCGTGTGCATGTGCACACACATAGTCACATGTGCGCATGAATGCCACTGTGGCTTTGCCTCAGTCTCTATATTTTCAAAATAAAGTAATTCTGAGACAGAAAAGGAGTCTTCATTTGGTTTGGAAAAAAAAATAAGTGTATCTATGAAGAAAGTTGAACTCTGGTCTTTTTTAGAGTCCCAGTTCAGGTCTTTGAGAGTTAAAGCCAGTGCTGAGCCATCATATAGCAGCATTCTGTCCCCTTCTGGGCTTCAGAATCCATAATGCAACAGACAGACACAACCAGCATTCAATATGGTAATAATGGAAAATTAAGTACAACTTTTAAAAACTGCTCACATTATAAAGTGATCTATTAGCACTGTATGACTGCAACACTTAAAGTGACTGATTCTAATTGCAAGATTTGGCCCCTAGCAAGCTTTAAAGAACTGCAGGATCTTGAAGGCATTTTATCTCTTTGGGGATATTTTAAAGTGGGTTTTCTTTGGAATAAAGCTTTATTCCTGCTGCACAAAAGATTGTGTGGATGAAATCTCTCAGTTCAGACAGAACCAGAGGTAATTATAGTTTCCTCTTTGATTTAATCAATCAGTAAGCCAAATAGCAGAAGCATAGCTGCCCGCTTTTTCCCTTCCCTTTACTAAGTGATACTCTGCCTTTACAGCTCATGGATGTCATCCAGAGGAAGCACTGAGCTGATGCCTTCTCCTAATGAGTTTTGTCAGGGAGGAGAGAGGCTCTGTTCACCTGCACCTGGTTATCACACTGCATCCTTCAGAATGTCTTCGGGACGAGCCGGTGGGTCTCTAAGATGAAGCTCCCCTGTCATACCTCGAGCTGACCTTCATTTACATAGGTTATCTCGGCAGTGTGGGGATTCTGCGGACATACACAGTACAGATGTACCTGCTAAATAGTTTGTAGGTTTCAGAAAAGGGATGAAAATAAGGAGCACCATTCAGGTTCTAACATAACTTTCTGTTATGATGGTTACGGGCTTTTTCATAACCTTTATCTTGTTGAAGATAGAAAGCTTATTAAATGAGTAACATGGGAAATTGCTGACTTCATGCCAAGGACGTCCTTGTTGAATGCCCATGGTTAAGTAGGTTAAGCTATCCTACTTGATCTGCATGCATACAGATTTCTTGCTGGTGGTATTCAGATCCCCCAAGTGATAGAAAGTTGCCTACTATGCTGCCCAGTTTTATCCATAAAACCAATAGCAGGCTCTTGAACAAGAATAATTTGAAACTCTACTGAAACTGTTAGGGTGTGACTATCAGCTCTATTTAAA